ACCAATGCAATCGTATGCCTGCGCGCAAAGCACTCAGCATCGGGTGCTGGAACGTGCGCACACTACTGGACCGGAACTCCAGCGAGCGCCCGGAGCGACGCACTGCACTGGTCGCAATGGAGCTGGCGCGCTACCACATCGATATTGCGGCGCTCAGTGAAACTCGGCTCGCTGAGCAAGGTAAGTTACATGAAGCAAGTGCTGGCTACACATTCTACTGGGTGGGGAACGCCGCCTCAGCACCACGTGAACATGGGGTCGGATTTGCAATATCCGATCGCCTGAATGGCCAGCTGGTGGGTGAACCAACGGGCATCAGCGCGCGACTGATGACTGTTCGCCTACGACTCGGAAGAGGTAAGTTTGCTACTTTCATAAGCACGTACGGTCCGACCATGTGTTATCCTGATGACACGCGTGATCAGTTCTACACTGAGCTATCCTCCGTGATACGGTCTGTGCCGAAGAGCGACCGACTATTTCTGCTGGGTGATTTCAATGCGCGCGTTGGGCGTGATGCATCAGCGTGGACAGATGTTATCGGTGCGCATGGCATTGGTTCAGCGAATGCGAACGGTGACAGGCTGCTCTCACTGTGTGCCACTCACGGCCTGCCGATCACGAACACTCGGTTTGCACTGTGAGTGACATAGCGAGTGATATAGCAACTTGGACGCACCCATGGAGTGGTCACGCTCACCTGCTCGACTATGTCATCGTACGTCAGCGTGATATGCGTGAAGTGCGCATGACACATGTACTGCGTGGAGCTGAGTGTGGCACTGATCACAAGTTGGTTCGGACCAAACTGTACATATATTTTCGTAAATCTATGTATTGCACTACCGCCGTGAATCGGCGTAAAGTTAACATTCTCTCCCTCGGTACTGTGGCGAAACGTACTGAGCTGGAGAAGGCGATGGCTGCACGCCTGTGTGGTGATGTGGACTGTATAGCCACAGTGGGCGACCTGTGGCACCACATTCGCGACCAGGTGACAGCTGCTGCCGAGGAGTCCATCGGGCGCGCAAACTGTAAGCGGCCTGATTGGTTTGATGACAACAATGTGACGATTGACGCATTGGTGTCAGAGAAGAATGCAGCATTTGCTGCATATGTTGCAGACCCCAGTGACTTGGGGAAGAGTAGTCAGTTTCGCAAACTTCGACGGCGACTGACCCGAGAGCTCCGTCGCATAAAAAATGCATGGTGGACGGAGAAGGCGAAGCAGATGGAATGCTACGCCGAACGCCGTCAACACAAGGAATTCTTTGACTCCTTGAAGGCGGTGTATGGACCGAGATTGGAGCCGACAAGCAAGGGGTTGGTGCAGCTGAGTGGACAGACCTCAATGACCTTGCAGTTGTCACTGGTGTAAAGCAAAGCTATATCTTAGCTCCTGCCCTGTTTACTATTCATCTTCATGCAATGATGTCTTGTGCTTTTGATAGCGCTTGTGCTTACGGTGTTCGTGTGGAGCACCGTATTGATGGTGGGTTGCTGAACATCCGTCGTTTCGGTGCGAGAACTCTAGTCTGTGAGACAACTATCCGTATGTTGCTGTTTGCTGACGACTGTGCGTTGTTTGCACACAGCGCGGATGAGTTGCAGCACATGACTAGTGCTCTGGCTTCGACAGCGGCCAAATTCGGGCTCACCATCAACACAAGCAAAACTGTCTGTCTCTTTCAGCCTTCACCGGAGGTGCAATCTTCAATATTGCCGCGAATCAGCATTGGTGCTGAAGTATTGGAAACCACCTCCCGCTTCTGCTACCTTGGGAGTGTGATGTCGACTGACCAGCAGCTACACAGTGAGCTGCGTATCCGCGTCTCGAAGGCAGCGGCGGCATTCGGGAAGCTAGAGTACCGAGTGTGGAACAACCATCAGCTTACCATTGGCACGAAGCTGATGGTGTACAAATCCATGGTGCTGTCCGTTCTTCTATACGGCAGTGAAACGTGGACGATGTACCGGCGGGATGTGCGATATCTCGAGCGGTTCCATCAACAGTGTTTGCGACGGATTCTGCGCATCGGTTGGGCGACAGAGTTGCGGACACGGAAGTGTTGCGTCGAAGTGGATGTATGCAGTGGACTGCATACTTTTGCTGAGACACCTGAGGTGGCTCGGTCATGTGAGCCGTATGGATTCGACGCGGATACCGAAACAACTCTTATATGGTCAGCTGAGTATTGGGAAGCGGCATGTGGGAAACCAAAGTTACGTTACCAGGACATGATCAAAGTGAGCCTCTCACGTTCTAATCTTGATTGCAGGTCATGGGAATCGAAGGCGGTTGATCGGCGTGCATGGCGCGATCTGATCACGAAGGCAGTTGCCGAAGTGCGGGAGAAAGACCTCATACATGCAGAGAAGAAGCGGCAAGTGCGGAAGCGGCAAGCACCGATGGGTTGTACTCCATCGACATCGAGCGCATGGTGCTGTAGCACATGCGGTCGCGAGTGCCTGAGTCAGGCAGGCCTAGTGAGCCATGAGCGAGGCCACTCGGGACCACACCGAAGCGACGACGGGTCCTGCAGAGAACGTAGGCAGAACCGGCGCAGCGTTTGTAGGTACGCTGCATTCGATTTACTAACCGCGTGCTTGCATGCTAAGTCTCTTTATTTCAGGTGGTGGGTTTTCAATTTTGTCCTAATGATTTTCTTTCTCATATTATTGTCTACCTGTACTATCTTCTATAAACTTGCACACGTCGCTGAAGCTAATTGTAGTTAATTTCGATAACATTTTCGCGTTTGTGGCATTTCCTTAAAATATATTTTCTGACCTCTTGAACTTATCGCGGATTCGTTCGTAATCAATTTATTTCATACACTCATTTAGTGAAGAGTTATGTCCCGTATCTGTATGCATTAACCGATTTATTTTATTTCATCTTGTCGTTTCAAGTGATTGGCTGTTGCTTGATATCCCCGGTGTGGCTGCGCTTGATGTGCATGTTGACAAGGTGCCTACCTGTCTATTACCCACTACCTCGTCCATACTGGCTCCAGGAGACAGTTGGTCGTTGCTGGAGGGGACGGGGTGCACGGTCCTTGTGGCCGTGCTAGGCTCGAAGAGTGGTTCCATGCACTCAGTGTGGAGCGGACTACGGTCCAGCCACCGCCTTGTGTGCGCTTGATTCCCCAAATACAGCGTGCTTGTGTTTGCCTGTGAAGGAGTGTGGGCCGGCTCCGTTGATGAAACGTGGCTCCCATCCACATGCCTCCCGGTCTTATTCCTTCGGGTTTACACTGGATATGGGTGTGTGGTTGGAGCTGTGGGTGGTGCAGCGCAAGCCATCCATGGTCCCTCTGTAGGCGCAGGCGTCCTGTGGCTGGCCACAGTGACAGGCAAATCCGAAACCGGATGCCGCCAACCATATTTTTACTTTACACTTGGCCAATAAAACAGTTGGCATGGTGCCACATCTCACGTGAGTACCGGCAAAAAAGAGGGAATGAATTCAGGAGGAAAGGGATGCGACAGATCCATGTGTTGCTCGTGGGGCTACTGTCCCCCTCTCGGATTGCCCAGATGAGGAAGGGTGTTGACTTAAGGGGATCCCCACCCCGAGCCTTTGCGTCATTTAAAGACCCGACCTGGCAAAGCAGGCGGAGGAGAAAAAGGAAGGACCACTGACAGCCGCCGTGACTCATTCGTCTTATCTTTGTGTTCGGTTTCAGTCTACAGAGAAGCCGTGGTGGCGAGCAAGGTTGTTCATCCGTTCTCTCCGACTCACAGTCTGTGTG